AAAGTATCCTCCGGATAACGACCTGTCATACCATATTTCATCAAAATCTGTCCAGTGGTTTTTTCGTGATGCGGTCAAAGACAGACAGGCAGATAGATGAAAATTCAAAAAACTATAGATTCAGACTCTGTATCGATAATAATGACTATTTCAGTACAGTACAGATTCGACTCAATTACAGTTTTATTATATGTATAGATTTCGTTGTACGATTTGTGATTCTTTCAGGCTGCTTTTAGGCTGCTTGACCGATTTTGATTATTGTTTTGACGTTTATTGTTGTTATGGGGCCACCTTGATAATAATTCTTAGTTATATTGGACCTCTTTGGTACATTGATATGTGGCACCGTTGCTAAGTGTTTTTTCTAATTGGTCTCATATAAAACCTTGTCTAGGTATGGCAAAACGTCTGCCTTTCGGGTGCGGTAGTACTATAACTAATAAGTGTACAAATTATCCATTAAATTTTCTTCAATTTTATTTTTTCAAGTCGTTTGGAACTTCAAAGTAAACGAATCTAAAATTTTAAGCATTTTGTCTTTGTTTAAGAGTGCAACACTAGAAACACTTTTAATTAAACTTTGGAAGGAAAAAGTTTCACTGATCAATTCAGCAATTTCAAAAGAAAACTCAAGCTAAGAGCTACTATGTTGCAATAGCTATTTCTTACGAACCTATACATAAATAGGCAAAGACAAAGCAGTTCAGTAACTTTTTCTCTTGTTTGTCAATCAATTTTGTTCTTTTTTTTAAATTAAATATGTTACTTTTTTGTAAAGATAGGTAAACTCTAGTTATATGTATATATTTTTCTCAAATGTTTAATAATGATTAATGGCCTTAAGAGCCTGTGAACGCAAGACCTTCGTCATTTTATAAAGGCTGAAAGTTTGTCAGCGCATATTCCCAACACAGATAAGAACGATGGACCATTATGAAGTTCAGGCTATGGTGGCTTTGGCAGGTACACGGTACTAAAGGTGTGTAAAATACCGATCTAAATTCGTCAAATAATAAAGTGTGATTTTTTGGTATTACCTTCAGAATATTATTAAAAATCACGTCATTCAATAACAGACACTTAACATCGTGGCAAACCCTTGCCAGACACCCTTTTCATGAAATCATAATTCTACTTACGTTATAGTATAAAAGGTGATTTTTATATATAATACTTAGGTAATAATTAGATGATTTATAAGACTGCTAGCATAGCATTTATTACACACCATGAAAAATGTTCCAAACAAGCTGGGAGGCCTTTCTAAGAAAATGTTGCAAATGGTCACCAAATTTGAAGCGCTAAGAATTGACTTTATTTTTGATAGTGTGTAATAAATGCATGCGCTGACAAACTTTCAGCCTTTATAAAATGACGAAGGTCTAGCGTTCACGGGCTCTTCCTCTATAAAGTTACTAATATTATAAATGAGAAAATGTTTTGAGTTAGACGTGATTTTTTACACAGGCATTGTATTCAGCCCTTTTTAACATTCCACTGCTGGGCACGGGCCTCCCTTCAATACTCGGGAGATCAGGCCATAGTCCACCACGCGGGCCAAGTGTGGGTTGGCGGACTTCACATGTCTTTTGAAAACTTGCTAGGTTCTCCCAGACATGAAGGTTTCCTCACGATGTTTTTATTCACCGTTAAGACAAGTGGTAATCATGTTGGAAATGATTCTCACATGAAAATATCAGAGGTGCGAGACCTGGAATTTGAACTCGCTTCATTCGGTTTCCCAAGCGAGCGCGTTACCACTGGGCTTCCATTGGCCCAACACAGGCATTGTATACATATATTCTGGAGAGTGCTGAACGTAATTGTGTTGTTGTTGTTCTCCTTAACCCCGAGGGTTTAAGTAAGTTTCAAAAAGTTACCCAAAGTCGTGCTTCAGGGAAGCAAAAGTAAACAATCGTGCTAAAAAATTTGAAAATTAATTAATTAATTGATATTCATAGATAGTCCATACATACGTAAGTCCACTAAAACGTACATTTCATAAAAAGTATTTGAAATATATTTTTGATGTAATTTTACTCATATTGTTCTATAAGTACAGATAAAAATACCAAACAAGTTTGTTATCAGATGTTAGCTAAGGCATAACAAAGATTGTGAGGACATTAAATAGGATCTGCTGAGATTTAGAAATAAAGTTGATAAAATTTATACTCCCGAAAGGCTTTCTCGACCTTGCTTAAAAAGTATTTATCGTCTAATCTTCAACCTAAATACTATGCAAAAGGACCAACTAAAGTGTATTGGAATATATAGTTTCTTTATAGGCACTAAAGTTTTGGAGATATTACCCACTATATATACATAAACCTTTAGCAGTTTTTCTTTCTACAATCTTATTAGATTTTTCTTTCGTTCGTTTCTCTAGTTCATTTTCTGTGACGAGCTCAGAGAAAATCGAAAAGCCGGCCGATAATTACATCAATGAAAGTTATAAAACTAAATCTTCTCAGCTTCTCAGCTTTAAATCTCCGTAAAAACACTGTGAGACCGACACGGTTATTTCATTGATAGAGAGGGATGTATATACATAATATTGGACGACACGCTTGGCTCATTTTGTAATGACCCTATTGCTGTGCCAGCAGTCGCAGGTTCGAGTCCCGCTGAGGGCATTCATTTGTGTGATAAGCATGATGATGACTATTTATAAAATATAGTATTTAAGGTTTTATGTATATGTGTAGTGTATCAACTATCTGGTATTTATAACACAAGCCTCGTAGCTTATCATGGAACTAGATGGTGCTGTCTGTTAATGTTCCAACATATTTATTTATTTTATAGTATTTGTAAACCTGAAATTTGAATATATTTTGCCTTATGCTTATACACTAGCCTTTTGATTGATTTAAGAACGTTAGTCATCTATACCAGTATTATAAATAGGTAAAGTTTTTGAGTTTGTGAGTTTGTGACGTTGTAGAGAGTAATCTCTGGATCTACTGAACCGACTTAGATAAAATTTGGTAAAAAAATAGTTTGAGACCCTGGAAAGGACATGGGATACTTTTTATCCCGGAAATCATCCATTAAGGGGGTGAAAATGGGGATGAAAGTTTATATAGGGAATCAAGCTACGGACGAACTCGAGCGAAGCGAGGGTGAGTCGCTAGTAGGATATACTTTTATTTCTATAGCATGTCGGTACATCTATACTTTGGTTAGTGATAATAATAATTTATTACTTATACATTTAAAAGTCAATGGCAGTATAATTTACATAAAAACAATAGAGTTCTATAAAGGTATTCAATGATTAACTACGTATAACAATGTTTAATTCATTCACGAATATTCCTTTTTAACTGACTTCTCAAATAAAGGGTTTAAATTTAGTCTGTACTTTATTTTTAATGCCTATTCTATAAGAATTTTAATATCTACACTAATATTATAAAGAGGCAGAATTCGTTTGTTTATTTGAACGAGGTAATCTCAGGAGCTACTAATCCGATTTGAAAAAATCTTTCTGCATTATATAGCCCGTTTATTGAGGAAGGCTATAGGCTATATATCATATAATATATAGTCCATCTATTCCATACTAACCGTTAAAACGTACCTAGGGAAAAACCCGAGCAAAGCGAGTATGAGTCGCTAATAATATGATAACGTAATATGATAAAATAATAATTAAAACCCTATTACTAAGCATATGTTATCCCTTTATTTGATTATCTCCCAGTCTCTCAGTTTGTGTGTCCTTTAAAAGGGCCTTCCATTTGAACAGTAAAACAGAACTTTTTTACAGAATTTAACCTACTGGGGATCACATAATACTCTCTTAGATTTACACGAATATTGGACATTTTAAATAAAATTATCTTTTCGGGCTTTTTCATGGTCACTGAAGTGACTGGGAATCATTAAAATATAGTACAAGGTACTACGTTTTGTAATAAACTAGCTTGCAATCATCAATGGTGTTTATTTTGTTCATGACTTAAAGTAAGATATCCAATAAAACTAAAGAGTATATCGAAATCGTGCAAACGTTTACCTGCTAATCAGTGTAAGGTCCTTTCATTAGTAGGTTCGTAACACAAAATTATAGTATGAAACATCAGCACGCGAGTTCGTATTTAATCGATATTTTTTTCTTGAAACCTTTTATAAAAACATCATAAAACCATTTTTAACTAAAAAGTTTGTACTATTTATTTACCAAAAATTTTATATAGGTACGTATTATTTCAATCCCTATTTTTTAAGTACTTTTTATTACACAGTGATTAATTTTCCAAATAATTACTTTCATCCTGCTTTCCATTTGAATAAATTAATATAACAATATTATACAGTAAATTAACCTCGTATATATATTACGACATTTCATTCATTTCACTTTACAGGCTTGTATCAATTACTAGGATTTGTTGCGGCTTCATATATGTAATATACAAGAGTACCTACTGTATTTTATATGAAATCTAATGATGATTATGAACTGCCTCGGTAGTGTAATGGCTAGCATGTACGGCTGCACGCCCGGAGGTCCTGGGTTTGAGTCCCGGGTCGGACCAAGTTTAGTTATTGAGTCTTTCTGTATAGTAAGCCTCAGTAACAGCCCGGAGTTGGGAATTTGGCGGTGACTCACCCCCGTGCCTCGGAGAGGACGTAAAGCCGTCGGTCCTGCGCCTTAACTCTCACTGGTCGTGTCGAGTGGTCGTCCCACCGGAGTATGAGAGTGACAGGAATAGAGAGTGCACGTTGTGTCTGCGCGTACACTTGTGCACTATAATATCTCCTACGCAGTTGGCTAGTCTCAATGAGATTGACCGTCATCATAATATGAAATCGTAGAGTACGTTTGAGTCCCATATAACCATTTGTATGTATGTAGATGGAATGCTTATTTAAACATATCCCAACGATTAAAAAAACACAAAAGGCTACGTAATACGTATGACCCATTTTTTTTTTCAAATGTCATGTATTATTATGTATATATTACGTCTAATATTAAATCTTACCTTAGCGTGGAACGTGATGCCATACTCAAACGCCTCATCAGGGTGCAAAGGTATCCGCGTGTCGAACTCGTCGTTCGGGACCAGATTGTACTGTTTAGTGGACGGCATCTTTCTGCCCCACTTAAGCAACTTCATGGGTACTCGCTTCCACGCTCCCGCTTTCAGGATGACGCGGATATAACGCGTTTTCTGTCCGCGCCTAAACATCGAAGCACATTCTCTTCACCGCTACCAATAACACGAACCGGCGTTTGTGGACGTCCTGGAAATAAAAATTAAATATTTTACTATATTCTTACCCGAAAAATGATAGGAAATCGATTTTCATTATTCTTTTTCTCTATGAATAGGACCTTTAATGAATAGGAAATGTCTGAAGGGTGGTGTTTAATATAAATTTCAAAACTAAATTCCACCTCTAACGTAAAAAATATTTTATGTGAAAATTGATGTACCTTTTCTATTGTTATTTTTTATATCTATACTACATTCGTACATTATAAATATGAAAGTAGGTCTGTCCGTTACCTTTTAACGCATAACTGAACAGATTTCGATAAAATTTGGCAAGTATTTAGATTGCACCCTGGGCCAAACATAGCCCCCACTCTCCCCGCTGACGCTTATGCGTGCGAATCCGCGGGCATAACCAATAGTTTAATATTATAATATTAATTAGTAAAAGAATAACATCCTATCGGAACTATTCATGTGTATCATGATTATTTTTTATGGAAAACCACGAGGAACAGGTATTTTATGACGTTAAATTCAGGATCGATGACATATCCAACTTGGCGAGACCTTCTCGTTAAGTCTGTTTTTTTCTTTAACACAGAAACTACCCCTTTTACAATTTGCCTATGTCATTTTAATTACCTACAGCAAGCGTTTTCAAACAGGCACTGCAGTTTTTATAATGTCAAACTCATGCGGTACGTCTGCGACATATAAATTTTAGTTAAGTTTTAATATTATGAAATCTCACATGAAATATCTTATTCTGAAGCCAAATATTTTATTCAGAATTCAGCAACGAGGTCGAACTTGTTTTAATATAAAATTTAACATTTGATACATTTCCGTTAAAATCGAATAATTAATCCGTAAAATAAAATTTATTAAATTATCTTGCCATTATATCTATCCTATAAAATCCATGAGTTATTGTTAAAACGTCCACTCCACGCTTCATGGCAAACTATTTATCACATTTATTACATTATCCTATATATATATATATATATATATATATATATATATATATATATATATATATATATATAGGATAATGTAATATTCATGTACATTAAAAGAAGATAGGTAGTTATAGTAATAATTATGTAAAGCTATTATGCGTTATCTAAAATTAAGGCAGACTTAATTTCATTTTATTATAACTATTGTTCGCTTAGTGGTTGAAATTCGACCCTAATCATTATTGAAAATTTGATGCAAACATATAAGAATAGAATTTATAATGTACGCACGTAAGAAGTTACACTCCTTTGGCGTAACAGAACAAAAATAGCTAAAGATTTCATCCCGTATGTCACAACTCTCTGTTTGTAAAAGGAATGATAAATTAATAAAATAATTAAATAAGGCATATTACGAATTACAATCATATATTTATAGAATATCATTTAAGGAAAGAATATAATCCATACTTTAATATTATAAATGTGAAAGTGTGTTTGTTTGTTTTTCCTTCTTTAACGTCAAAACGGAGTGACGGATTGGCGTAATTTTACTTTTTACCGCGGGAGATTATCTAATTCCCACGGAAAAACACGTTATAATACAATCCAAAAAAATATTTAAGATCAGAATTACTTGAAACTTTTTAATAATGCTCTTCAATAAAATTAAATAAATACGTGTTTTATCATTTTTAGAAATTCATCTTACAAAAGGGTCAAATAAGGGATGAAAGTTAATGAAACCTTCCCTCTTAGAGTTTGTTTTTGTAGTTTGAGCGCGAGCGAAGCCGCGAGTTCTGCTAAGTAATATATAAATAAAATATGCGAGCATAGCCGTGAGCAAAAGCTAGTTACTTAATAAAACCTTATTTTAAATTTCATCTTCGTGAATTCGTGTTCTAACAAAAATGCGTGTAATTGTTACCATTTGGTTAATAGAAAATAAGCTGTGAACACCCAAACACTTTGAAAGTAGTACTAACAAATACTCAGTAACTCAGCCATCTTGTTAGTTGGCGAGTTCTAGTAAAAGTTTTGGCTAACCAAAGTGCGCTTAATGCCACTATTAAATATTTTCCTATTCAAACTTTAGATATTTGTTATCTATAATAATATTATAAAGAGGCAGAGTTTATTTGTTTGTTTGTTCCTCGAATGAACTAATCTCAGGAACTGTTAATCCAATTTGAAAAAAAAAAATTGCGTTAGATAGCCCGTTTATTGAGCAGAGCAGTAATCATAAATGTCAACAAATCGGGCAGACTTCAATACATTATTGTACAACTGATGCTTCTAATGTGTTTAAGTGCTTTAAGCTTTAATTAAATATACTCATCGAGTATTGTATAATCAAATTTAACGCGAGTGAAACCGCAGGACATAGTTAGGTTAATTATATTATTATTGAAAATATTGTTATATCTAAAACTGCTAGCTAATAAGTGTAACCTAACATGTTGTTTTAATTCCATTATGAACTTTTAGTGGTGTATAGTATTGCCAGCCAAGTAAAAATTATTATACTACTAGCGCTGACCCTCGCTTCGCTAAGTTTCGTCACTAGGTACGTTTTAAATATATATATATATATATATATATATATATATATATATATATATATATATATATATATATATATATTTGCCAGCGTTAGCCATATATTATTTTCGTTAATTTTTCTGATGGCTTAACACTTACTATCCTATTCCGGACTAAGAGATATCCAAAAAATCAAATATAATAAAAATGCGGAAATTTTGCGGCACTTTTTTCTTGCGGTTCTGTTTAAACTTCTATGAGGGCCGTCCTCGAAAAAATGTTTTAAATAAAAGGATATATATATATCCCCGTGGACGCTGGGGCCCCTTGGATCAGGGGCCCATTTGACTGCATTAGTTGCATTGGCATAGCTACGACACTACTTGCATTCTAGAAGAAACAAAAATTCGAGAAGAAACAAAAATCTTAAACGTAAAAGGTGACATGCATGTTTTATTCTTGCTGTGAGATGTACTCTTATATATGTCTCGAACTGCTTAATACTACGTTCTCATCTTATCAGTTAGATTTTTTCGCAGGTGACTTTTTCTCATTTATATTTTTTTTTATTTACAGCTATTTATTTTGGCCTAGCTTTTTATTAACTAAAAATAAAAAGTTAACACTTTATATCGATGAGAAGTTATTTCGTTTTTCTAGAAATTTATCATATGATAATTATAAGCAGAGAGCAAATTCTGTCGACCAGATCTCAACTATAATTAAATACTTTGTTTGGACAAGGTCAAACTCAACTGGTGCATGGCATTATTGGCTTTGGGTACATTCGCACGTTTTGGCTTACCGCAAACAAGCACCACTTCAAAGTAACAGCCTGTTTGTGATTCTAAGCATTTCACTAATATATACATTCAATGTGTAAAGCAAAACGCTGATGAATTAATCATGATATCTTATACATTAATAAAGTTGTAATAATTTTTGGTCAGACGATCAAAGATTTTTTGATAGAACTGCATTTTAAGGGCGAAGAAATGCTGGCCAGTTTGGTAGAACTTCGTATGAAAAATTGTTATGGAAAAAAATAATGACATATGATTTCACGTTTTTTTTAAAATCCCCTTCCATAATAAAAGTTAGGTTTGTTACACAAATTACATGTAAAAATGACACGTTTGGCTCAGTGTTTAGTAACCCTACTTGCTATGCCAGCGGTGGAGGGTTCATTTGTGTGATGCAGGTGGAGGATTCATTTGTGTGATGCAGGGCATTCATTTGTGTGATGAGCACGAATGTTTGTACTCCAGTCATGGGTGTTTATATTATTTATAATATGTACGTATTTAAAGTTAAATATGCGTAGTGTATCAACTATCTGGTATCCATAACACAAGCCTCGTAGTTTACCATGGAACTAGATGGTGCTGTGTGTTAATGTCCCAACATATTAAAAAAAAGTGTAACATATTCAGCAGACTGACATCATATGGGATAATAAGTAACGCATATTACTTAAAGATTTATTAACTATATCTAAGCAAAAATCATATCAAAATATCCTCATCAGTTTTTAAAAGACGATCTTTAACTTAACAACAGCTTAGATATGGGGAAAGACCAAATTATTTTAAAAATATAACCAGATATATTTATATTAAAAAAAAATATTACATATAGACGAACATAGAACCCCCTCTTTTTGGAAGTCGGTTAAAAATGAATTAATAATGGCTGGCAGATATCAATCTAGCGACAACTTGTGCTCCCGAGTTGTCTCCGATACTGACACGTCTGTACCGCCTTTCTCTTAAGACTGGAATAGTACCTAAATCCTGGAAGCTTGCCAACGTGCAACCAGTGCCCAAGAAAGGAAGCCGTGCTGACCCTACCAATTATCGTCCAATCTCAATCACCTCCATACTCTGCAAGATTATGGAGCGTGTATTGAACACACGTCTTATGGCATACCTAGAACAAAACGACCTCCTCAGTGATCGACAATATGGGTTTCGCCGGAACCGGTCAACTGGGGACCTTCTAGTGTGTGCCAATCACATCTTTGGCGAAGCTCTTGAGCGAAGCGGGGAGGCGATTGCCGTCTCCCTCGATGTCTCAAAGGCCTTTGATAGGGTCTGGCACGATAGCCTTATAAGCAAGCTTGCAGCCTATGGCATATCTCCTGGCCTGATCCGCTGGATTAAAGACTTCCTGAGCGACCGATCACTCAGAGTTGTGGTTGAGGGTTGTTCATCACAACCCTTAAAGACCAACTCAGGAGTTCCTCAGGGGTCTGTTCTCTCTGCAACCTTGTTCCTGCTGCATATCAACGATCTGCTTATACCCGGTATCTATGGGTACGCAGACGACAGCACTATTGTAGAGAGATACCTGCCGAATCCTCGGGCCAGTAGAGATCAAATTCAGTCCGAAAGAGAGGCCATGGTAGAGCGGTTGAATCTCACACTCAGGACAGTCTCCACTTGGGGTGATGCCAATCTTGTGAGT